TCGGAAATCATCAAATTACTTAATTAATTAACGCTAATAGTAATAATATTAATAGCAGCATTCTTTTTAATTGCAAATACAACCAGGTTTCATAAGCCTGATAAGGTGAAGTATCAAATTAGAAAAGGTTTATAAAAATAATTGAATTGTGTATTATGTTACCTTGGGAACAAAAGGGAAATATTGGATTTTCCCTCCACACGAAAATAAGTGTGAAATATTAAAAGTATTTTCTTGTACGTCAGCCTTCACCATGTTCATGACCAATATCGATGACCGAAGTAATGTAAAAGACGCGGCGTGACATTTACGTTTATCCATTGCTTGATACATTTAATTTTAGTCACATGGCTATAATAATACATTTTTAAATATTTGTCATACACGTAAATAGAGAACGTTTACTCTCTTATTCCATTATCCATATAATTTATAAGTTATAATACTAAGTTATAAGTTATTTTTTCTACAATTATTAAAAGTTTTGCACTGTACTCTGTTTAAACACCTCAAAGACAAATCTAGTTAATTTAAATTTTGAAGGTGAATATAAATATATGTGTAGTTTGTTTATTTTGTCATCCATTTTCACACAAGGTAAGCACAATTGTCAAGTGGTAAATTTCAATCGTTTTTTTTTACATTATGATGCCTCATCATCATCATATTTATAGTGTAATTTCAGGCTTGTGTTTCGAAATCAGTATTATACCCTTAAAACAAAACAAGTTTAACATTTGTCATGATGTTTTATTTCATTGTTGGTGGCAGTCAAATTTTTACTGTATAACTATAAATACTTTGACAGAATTATACCTATAGATTATGTATGTATAGTCTACAAAAGAAAGCAATATTTATTTACTATAGTGTGTTCTTAATTTTACAAACCTTTCAAAAATTATATAACTTCAAAACTACAAACTCTAAAACAACTAGCATATTAAGAAGTATTGTATTTATATTTTTTTTACATATAATCTAAGGACAGCAAGTTATCTGTTGGTCCACCTAGGTTATCCCATCCACTAAACAAAACTTTAAAACGAAAAACATTCAAAGCCAAGCCTTGCTGTTCTAATATTTAGTAAGCCTTCCCTTAAATTAATTGCATCTGCTACATATGAAGGCAACCCATCGCAAAGGCCAATCAACCTGTTAGACAAATAAGACTGTGTTAGTTGAAGATGAATTCCATCTTGCCTTGCTAAAATTTATACTTGTCCCTTAGTCCTACTGTACTCACCATTAAGAGTGAAAAAGATGATGCATCAACACTATCAATTCCCTTTACAATCTTGAACACCTCAATCAGATCCCTTCTAACTCTTCTTTTTTCAAGAGAAAACAATTTCTGAGATCTTTACCTCTTCTTGTAAGACAACCCCTCCATCTAAGACACCATTCTAATAATCCTCCTCTGAAACGTTTCTGAAAATTTAATGTCCTTTTTAAGGTAAGGAGCCAAAGATTGAACACAGTACTACAAAGGTGATCTAACCAATGACCTATGCAATGCAATTATAACCTCTTTAAACTTGTATTCAATATTTCTGTAGATACAACCTAAAATCCTATTTGGGCTGCCACTAGCAGCTGCATATTGTTTGGATGGCTAAAGAGACTGAACAACTAGAACACCAAGACCTTTTTTCTTTTAAAAACTGCTAAGGTTATTCCAATGAAATTTATTTTCATAATTCAAATTATGATATTCCACATTAATTACCTTGCATTTATTGTAATTGAAGGTCATCTGCCATTTATTTGCCTATTTCACTAAATAACCTAAATCATCAGGTGGGTTCAATTAGGTTATAACACCCTTTGACAAGATAAATTATTCTCCTTATATTTTTCAAACTATTAATCTCATTCTAACATATCAACCGTTAGGATTTTCACTCCTATGACAGCTAACTTTGCATTTTCTAACTTTTCTCTCATCAAACTTCTCTTTCCCATGACTTTGCTTTTTACTCTCTTTCTCTCTTTTTCCACTCATCTGGTCTCAGCTATTTATACGTCTATCACTTAGACCTTCTAGAAATCTCTATAGCCTCAACATCAATGAATTATAAACACAAAATTAATTAATTAATAATATTACCTACACTAAACAGTCTTTTATATCTGACAATTGCAATGGTTTACTTATCATCAGTGGTCTCTCAGACATGGTTTTAATTCTTCTCGTCTACTGTGCCACATGTTTCTCAATTGTTGATATGGTTCTTCAACAAATGTTTGCCGCCTTCGTCTGTTTCTCTGTATAAGGCAACTTTGTCTGCTACTTTTTGTTTTTACTAGGAGACAAAGTTTTTGAGTCCCCGGTTTTGTTCATTTTTCTGAAAACTTTTTCAGTTATCCATCCTCAACGTCCTTTCCAGGTTCCTAATTGGAATCACACTGTGGTTCTCCATGCCTTATCTTGTTCACCCTTTGAATATTTGGAATCATGTTCTTTATATCACCTTTCTCTTAAGACTTATTTTCTTTTGTTGTTGGCTGATGGACATTGACATTCAGATGTGTTTGTGATTCGTATTCACAGGACCTTTACCATTTCACTTATGTTTTGTTGTATCCAGACTGGTCCTTTATACCCAATATTTCAGCAGCTTGAGAATGGGATTAGGTATTCTCTCCTATTTATCTTCCCTTCATTTCTTATTTATATGACCACTCAGATCTGGATCATCTTTTATGCCCAGTTCAGTCTTTCTGATGTTATGTTGTGTACACTGAAGAGTTTTGGGGTTCACATCACCGTTTGTGTCTCCATTGAGATCCTACAGTGTCACATATCCTCTGTCATTTTGATGGGTTGGGTTCCACAGCCCTATAATTCCAATGGAACTTGATCTGCCTGGATGCCTCTTGTGAGTTATGGACAATATGTCATCAAGTTTGAGAGATCTGTACATCAGCTGGCTGACTGATTGTGACCGGATGTGTCTGGTATTGGTGGTGCAGGCCAGTTTCTATGGTATAGTTGACCCTAGATTTATGTTTTCTTTTCACTGTATTTTTTTCTCTGTGGCCAGTCAGCCTTTACTGTCTAGGTATTAGATTTCACGTTGTCCGGGCAAAGAGCATACCTGTTCCAGAAGTAACGCAAACCCCACTAGTGTGCTTCTACTATATCTCATTTTTGCACACCTCCTTTCTATGCAGGTACTTTGTGTGGATCTTGTCCTCACCAGTCCTTCCACCTTGTCAGTGTGGGATTATAGCTCTGGTGTGAGAAGAGGTAAGTGTGTTTCAGAAGTTAACATTTTTCTATATCAAAAGGTATTTTTGATAATACCTCTCTCACACTCCCTCACCCTTCATTCTCACTATTGCTGGTGATCAGGATTGCTATTGTGAACAGTTAAAAAAGTGAATTGGAAGTAATAATGGGGAGCTTATATACAGATCTGAGATAGGGAGCCCCTTGATGTAGATGGAGAGAATCACAAGATTTAACTTGCCATAAGTAACATTGTGGGGTATAAAGGCTGGAGCAAGCAATGTAAGTTTCATACCAATGCTTAGATGGGCAGAGAAGAGGAACTTTCGTTGGTATAAAGCTATAATGTGAGAAGAGGTAAGTATTATCAGAAATACATTTTTGATAGAGGAAAATGTTAACTTTCAAAATAAGAAGTGACAGATAATAAGTCTTTAGATGATATTCATGTAACAGTACAATATACTTGGCCTGCTTTATAAGCTACCAGCAAGCTAAATTGTAGCTAAAATCATATTACATGTGCTAAGTGATTTATTTTTCTTTGGTGGTGCCTTTGTATGGTGAATTATTCAAACCTTTCACTTTGTATTAGCTAAAGAAAAACAGTACTTCTTCCCAATAAGATTATTTTTATGTTTTAGAATATTGTACCTTTTAGGGTAACAGATGATATATTACTTATGTCAGTCACTATACTATCAAGGATTGCTATAAATAGCATTTAGGGTCACTGATTTTAAACACCCAAAATAGGGATGAGGAAAATAATTTGCCTTCTCAAAGGGTGTTTTAAACTAATTGAACCTGCATCTGTGGACTTTGATGAAAAAAAAGACAATTATTTGAAGTTCAGAAGACAACTGTGGTAACTCAAGAGGTAGCTTAGGTGAATTATTTACTGATACTATTGTGTTAACAGTAGAGAAAAATAATTTGGCTTGTCAACTACATTCTACAGTAATTGAATCAGCTTAAGTGGACTTTTGACAAAAAAGAAGAGAACTGTATAGGGTTTAAGATACAACTGTGATTTCCATAGTGTAAATAAGTTTTGTACATAATTTATCATGTTTTGAATATATTATTTTAAAACAAGTGGAGTGCGTGCTGTCCATTTATTGTTCTAATTTACCATCAACAAGTCACAGACACCTACTGTAGAAGAATCCTTAACACCCATACATATACTTAGAACCCTGACACCACAAAAATAGACTTTGTGTATTGAAAGTTATCTATCCAACCTGATGAGCTCTGGTGTTGATTGAAAGGCATCACTGATAGCTGTGCATAAAGAAAATGCAGTTGAATTGATTTCCTACATTATTTTTACAGAGTAGTTAAAAATAAAGTAAAATAAAATCTTCATCAGACACAATGTGATATCTAATTACACCTTTTACCATGAAAGGTATCATGCTTTCCCAACTTAGATATTATACACTGTATATTGTATATAACTATTGTTAGCTTTTTACTGTGAAAGGGATCAAGCTTTTTCAACTTAGGTGTTATGTGCTGTATATTGTATATAATTATCGTTAGTTTTAGCCCTCCAGTCTTTAGAGATAAGCATAAATGTCTGGTATATTGTTTATGCTAACATAAGAGTTATCTGTATTTTACAAGCAGTTATTAAATGTTTTAGATTTAATTTGTAACCAGAAGTAAATTTTTTATTTTATTTTATGAAACTGAATTGTTAATTGAGTTAGTGCAATGTTGTGATTAAATAAATTGTTTTAAATATACTTGTGTATAGCTATAGCGAAAGATTTCCAAAGCCAGGTGAAACACTAATAGGAACAAACTTTGTCAAAGGTTATGGAGGAAAAGCAGCTAATCAGTGTATTATGGCATCAAGGCTTGGGACATCTACAGCAATGATTGGAAAGGTAAATTAAATATGTGTTTACTGATTTACTAACAATTGTCCAAAGGATAATTATCATTTTAGAGGTTAAAAAGTGGATCTGACCTTAGCTGGCTGAATGTCATTAGTTTTGAGTTCATTGTCATTTTTATCTGAATGAAAACCAGTGAGTTTGTGAGATCTTTATTAAGGAGTGTTGTGTGGAATATGGCTTAAGTTAAATGTGTTTATGGTTTGAATTAAAGTTAGTTATCATGGAGAAGTTTCTCAATATTGAACTGAATAGAAGTTACAATAGCTGTGTATAGAATTAACAAGTAAATACTATAGAATCTTGTAGTGATATTAGGAAAAACATGAGATGTTCTGTGTGATAAAACAAAACATATAGCTAATGTTGTTAAATCTTCTAGCATAAGGTTTACTTGTATTAATAGAGGGATTTAAAAACTTTCCCTTTTAATTGACCCCTTTCCAAAGAACTAACATGTTGGGTCAGCATTTAGAGGTCCAAGGATCACAGTTTGGGATCTGTTATCTAATAAATTTGTTTGTGGATTCTCACCTTTTAAAAGATGTTGCATGATTACAACTTGTTGCAGGTCTATTTTTAAATGGTCTCGGTGCTCCAAGTTGATATATATTCCATTGTTTTCCCCATGTTGGAAATTATAAATCTCCAATGTGAAGACATCTTTCTTATCTGAATATATGAATATCTTGTGTTAGAAAATGATGTTACATACCCTTCCCAAAAGCAATCAATTTTTGGTGTCATTAAATTACATGATCTTCCAACATGGATCTTTATATCTGATGTGGTTGTCACATGACTTTCACATTTGCATATTTCAAATTGTTTCAATATAACATACTCAACCCTTTTATTTTGCCCTTAGGTATGGTAGGAACTTTAACATTGAAAGAGATTAAGTTGAGATTAGATGAAATAGTTGTTAATCTGTTATATTTGAGCACATTTCTTCTGAATATTAAACAGTAAATGGTGTTTGCTTCAGTGTCACTAAAGTAAAGATAGTTCATTAAAAAACAAGTAACAGAATCAAGATCATGATTTTAATTTCAGTGACCTTGCTTTGGTAGTTAAAATTTGTTTGCACTAAGAATGTATATTAGTTAAACCAAATGAATATGTAATAAGATTGTGTAAATGTTTAAATATTTCTATTATCAACATTTATTTTAATAACAGGTTGGTGATGATGACTTTGGACATCAGAGTAAAGAGAACTTCAAACAAAATAATGTGAATGCAGGTAGGTTCTGATTTTATCCAAGTGATGTGATTGTGAAAATGTTTCTCATTAGAAACTGCTTGTACCTTCAGATTGGAAGAATAGGTTTTTCTTTCCATTATATAATTTTTATTTTACATTTTGTTTGTTTATCAATGGGATGAGTTAACTTGTATGGACAGCCCGGCATGGTCAGGTGGTTAGGGCACTCGACTCCCAAACTGAAGGTCACGGGTTCAAATCCCTATCCCACCAAACATGTTTGCCCTTTCAACCGTGGGGGCATTATAATGTGACAGTCAATCCCACTATTCATTGGTAAAAGAGTAGTCCAAGAGTTGGTGGTGGGTGGTGCTGACTAGCTGCCTTCCCTCTAGTCTATCACTGCTAAATTAGGGACAGCTAGTGCAGATAGCCCTCGTGTAGCTTTGCGCAAAATTAAAAAAAAAAAGACTTGTATGCAAAGGTAAAACATCACTTTTCATTTTTTCTGATGTACATTCTTAATTTTTACATTAAAACACAATAATAAGCTACAAAAGGCATTCAGCTCATTGAAATCCACCTTCCAGTAAAGAAAGAATTTCTCTTTAAATATAACTCTTCACCTCCATAGAATTATTCAATAAAAACTTAAAGGGATTTAAAATATCACTACACTTAGCAACATCTGGCAAACCATATTACTGACCAAAAACTAACATGGTAGAATATTTTGCCAAATAACCAGCATTCAGTTGCTTATACTTATTTCTTCTAATATTAATAATTTCAACTCAACCTTATTCTTCTACCAATTTAATAAGCTTATCATGGGTAGTTTATCCAAGCTCATAATGATTTTAAATACCTGAATTAGGTTACATCCAGTTCCAGTTTGTTTGTTTTGAATTTCATGCAAAGCTGCTTGAGGGCTATCTGCATTAGCCAACCCTAATTTAACTGTAATAAGCTAGAGGGAAGGCAGCTAGTCCACATCACCCACTGCAAACTCTCGGGCTAATCTTTTACCAATGAATAGTGGAATTTACCACCACATTATAAAGCCCTCCAAGGTTGGAAGGGTAAATAGATTTAGTGACAAGTATTTAAAATCACACCCTGCACGTTGCAAGTTGAGTGCCCTAACCACCAGGGCATACCAGGCCCACAAGTTTCATTGAAAACAAGTTCAAACCTGTGAGTTTTACTGCATAGCCTAAATGTTTCAAGCTAGGAATCATTGTTAGCCTGACTGAACTTTGTTAAGCAAATCAATATTTTCTGTGTAGTAAGGGGATAAAAACTGAACACAATACTCCACATGGGGCCTTAACAAAGTTTTGTAAAATGTAATGATAACACATTTGCTCTTTTCACCACTTCCAAACATTCAGCTTATCCTTCTACTAGAGGTGTGGTAAAAACAATTTTCAAAATTAGCTTAGTATATATATATATATTTTGTAATATATTGTTTATGCTGCCCAGGTTGGTGCATCATACCACAAGGACAAAATTGCAGTATTGATTAAACAATTTTAGAAAACAAACTTCTAGTCATAATTCAGCACATTTAGAAAATATATTCTTCAAAGTTGAAATTTATTTGATAAAAAAACGGTTTATTTTATTTTATGAATGTATTTTTTTAAATCACAAATTTTGAGTTGAGTTTAGTGTTGGGGAATTTACTGAAGTTTTCTGAGCTTAATACAGTATAATGATAGCCCTCAAGTAGGAAAATCAAAGTAAGTTTGAACAAAACAATGCCAAAATGAACCTGGACATAGTTCTATTAATTTTAGTCGATCACTGTTTCTCAGCCTCAGTTGTCATGGTGAGATGTAATTGCCTATATCTCAGCTTTCAAAAGCCTTAAGGTAGTGATCTAAACATGTGATGAAGGTTATTTATCTATTATTTTCAACTGTGTAAGTCAATATGGTATTAGTTCAAGAAATACACAAGTAGATGTCATAACAAAAGTGATGAAAGCTTAGGATGGGGAAATGTTGTGAGAAGAAAAGATGTTTGTGGACAACTTATGCCACAATTATAGTCCTGATTTATTTTTAAAGTTAGTGAAAGGCTTGCTTTATTATTTTATATTTCATTAGAATTATGAAGTTCCAGTATAGTAGAAAACAAAATGCTTTTCGTGGAATGAGATGAGGTGAGCTTTATTTAGATAATTTTGCACTTGATCATATAAAGTTTCATTTCATGAATAGGGCCGCTGTTTGTTAGGTTGTGTTACCATAGGCCTTGTCAGCCCAGCCTAAGTAACTGCTTGAATGGGCAACTAAAATAAATGTAAAAAATTAATATAAATGAATATGAGACATGTTTAAAATTTCATACTTGTATTAAATTGAAGGCCTTCTGATTTATAACTATTTAAAAATTAGCTTGCTAATAATTTTGGTGTGGTCAACAAGCCACTGGTGTGGTACACCAGTGATTGTAAACACAGTGAAACTGCATGCAATGTTTTTCAAGTCAAAACAGAGATGACATTTACAGTTTTGTATAATAAAAACTTTAATGGAAAGCTTTACAAACTTATAGGAAGGCATAAAAATCTGTAATTGAAATATAAAAAGGTAAATATTTTTATTTGTTTATGGAAAAAAATGTATCACGATGCATATTTGACTTTTCAAAGCTGTGAATTTACATAAATATCACATATAAAAATAAGATATTTTATTTTACAGAAGCTACGTAATTTCTAGAAAGCTCGTCTCAAGTTTCAAACAGTTTCAACTTGTAGTTTTGGTTTGTTAAATGTAATAAACCATATAATAGGCGTGTCAAACCAACACACCAGGGCATTTGAGTTTTAATGGGTTATATTTGCATAAGAAATGTATTAAAGAATATGTAAAATGTGTAAAAGTGTATTAAACTAGGGGGATTTTAAAGCTATTAAACTTTTGGATGAAACATTTGGTTTTCTTGTATAGTAACCTGCATACATACACAGACGTAAGCATAACTAAGATAGTACAACAGCCAAATGGCAATTGTTAATTTCTATTAAGTTAATCAATATTTTCCCTGATTTTTATCTGGCATTTTCCAAAAAGAAATTTGGCTGGAAGTATATTAAACATTGATTTATGTCTCCATTTTTTTAGCCACATAGTGGCTTGGTGGTGAGCCTGTAGGCTTACAACCATACACATGATGGGCAGAGCACAGATAAGTTATTGTGTATATTTGTGGTTAAAACAAAATTGAAACACATTTTTTTTTTATCTCTTTCTTCGTATGTCCACATCATCAGTGTAAGGGATCACTGTATGAACCTTATCAGAACCTCTTCTATGTGAAGATAATAGAAATTAATAGCTTCCTGTTTATTCTAATGTACAAGAATTTACCTGAAAGTCACCTTGAATACTTTATTAACCAAACTGCAATTTTGTTTTTCTGGATATTATTTTACCTACATTAATAAACTATACAAGGTCTTTATAAATAATTGGTTAATTATGATTAATTATAAATATTTATCTATATAATTTGAATTTATATTTTAAATCTGTTTTGATTCCACTGACAGAGTATGTGGGGATTACAAAGGATGCTGCCACAAGTGTTGCACAAATCACAGTTGTTAAAGATGGTAAGAAGTTTATCAAATATATCGCATAATGCGCTTATTGGGCAGCTTGTATAGATACATATTTTTTGTAGTGGAATAAATTGACACACACACACTTCATGATTTTATGCAGTGAAAGAAGGAATTAGTGAAGTATTATCAGCTTATTAATGATTATAGTTTTTTAAAAATCTACAATTCTGTTTTATATATATATTTTAGAGCACTGTGATTATTTTTTCTTAAATCAATGAGATCACAGACCATGTAATAATATTCTCTTTCAACTCATGCACAAATGAAGCAAAAACAAATGTTGCAGGTGAAACATAAGGGTTAAAAGTACCATATAGGTGAGAATGTATAAAGGTTATTTTATGTCCATTTCATTAGTTGGCATCAGTAACCTATTACAGGCAATTTGTTGCTTTATCTTTTGTATACGTAAAAGGACAAAGTTTGAAATGCATTGCATTCTGTCAAGAACAATCTTCCAAGGACATAAGATAGACCATGGTGACAGAAGATGAATCACCCCATTGAGGTCAACCCTCAGCCACAACAATTGAGCTAAATTATTAAAACCTAGTTAAATAAGACTCTTCACATTTATGTAATTTTTGAAGAAAGATTTAAAGAAATATAACTAATGACATTTTAACTAAAAATAGTAAAATATATAATTTTTTACAATTATTTTTCTATATTAAATAATAATGATGGTTATGTGCACAGTTATGAAGAGTAATGAAAGTTTTAAAAATATACTTTTGCCACAAAAGTAGTGTCATTTATCTCGTATAATGTAGATTATGTATAGCTGAATGGAAAGGCTCTAGTAAATTGTATTTGGAGAAAATAATTTTGTTACAAAAATGAACAATAAAGCTTAATGCCCAAAATATTTATGTTGACCACAGTGGAAGCAAAGCTCTATAGGGATCTAATGGGGAGTCTGTATTGTAATGATTCTATTAATAATCTAAATAACGTTTTTTTTGTTTTTTTTTTATAAATGATTCACCATTCAGGACAAAACTCAATTGTCTATATTCCGGGAGCTAATGACTGTTTAACTGTGGAAGACATAAGAAGTGCTGAGAATGATCTCATAAAGAAAGTAAAGCTTATGATTTTGACCTATGAAAGCATATCTGAGGTTATCCTTGAAGCTTTGAAAATAGCTAAGCAACATGGTGGTGAGTATAAGAAATTTATAAAAATAAAATGCTTTAGAATTGTAAAATTGTATTTACATGGAGTTGTATATTTTAACTTTAGGTTTGAATCACACGTGATTATATTTCTTTAGCTTTTGAAATGCATAATGTCAGATCATGGTTAAAAAGCTGAGGACACTTTATTTCTAAGTTATGTGAAGGTAATTACACATTTTGTAATTTAATGTTGAAAAACAGTTTTTATATTTCTTAACTGGATATGTGTAATGAGCATGTTCTGAGTCTATCTTGTAAAATGAAAAAATAAATAATTGTAAAAAAAATGGTTTTGAACTTTTTACTTCTTAATACATGGTGTAATTTCTGTTAAAAGACTTACCCTTTTATACTTGGTCATTGCCAAGGTTACCATTAGATATTTTGTCACCTTATGCAAAATTATAAAATTCTGCCCTTGATGGAACCCTTGCAACATTATAATTGATAAATATATATATAACATGAACAAAATGTTGATATTTCTAGTAGAATGTTACTTGAGCAGACCTATGTGTTACTTCACACTTTTTATTCTTAGAAGAGCATGTTTTCACCTATTTTTTTAGTTGCAAATGTGTGGAATACTACTTTAAGGTCGAGTTTCTTGAATTTAGTAAAAGCATTTTATATTTAAGTTGATTATGTTATAGTATCTATGTCTATGAATTCAGTTTACAGGCCAATAAAAGATGAAAAGTGAGTGTGAGGTAGTTGACTATAGAAAGTAAAATGAATATAAAACTCGTGCTAAATTTTTTTTCCTAGGAAATTGGCTTCTTTACTTACCTGCTTAAGTTAGGCTGCATCATTACTGATTAAGTAATTGCTGAATAACATTTGCTGCAAACACTTTTTTTTTCAAAGCAAGTGAGTGCATGGAAACTTTATACCAATCATACTTTACCACTCCAGTCACTTCAATCTCTATTGAATCTTATCCCTTACAAAATCTACCTAAATAACTGGCACAAATTGATACACCTCAAAATTGCAGTACTTGGATGTTTATGGTATTGCTTTAGTAATTAAATAAACTGAGCATGTTTTGTATTACAGTGTTTTATGTATGTATGATGTATACACTATTTATGCATAGTATTTTTATAATCAGATTGTATGTATCTTTTAATTTTTAACAGTTTTAAGTGTACTTTTGATTTGTAACAGTTGTGGAAAGGAGGGAGCTGAAAAAATTGATTCACTTAACAGCCTTGTCAAAAAGCATTTGTTCACTTTGAACTTTTTATTAAATATTAAAAAATAATGTATTTAGCAATACTACAGAGAAATAGTAATTTTAATGAGGAAATCTTTTATGCTGAACTTGAAATTTTATAGTTATCTTGAACAGGGAAGAATGTTCCGTTAACCCAACACATTCAACTTCAGAATATTAGAAATTTTTAGGAAATTTGCTTAGCAAGACATGTTTTATTTGACATTGAAATAATATGCATAAATATCAGTAAATTAATGAGCTTTATTCAGCTGAGATTTTCTTACAAGTAAGTTCTTTTTTCCTTGTTTTCAGTTCGGACTTTGGTAAATGCTGCACCTGTTAATCCTGGAGTCTCTGAAGAAATATACCCTCTTTGTGATGTGTTGTGTGTCAATGAAGTTGAGGTGAGTAGAGAAAATTAAATAAAGAATTATCTGGTTCACATATAATGTGCAGCTAATAAAGGTAATGGTACATGAACAATTTTTATCCAAAGTAAAGCACCTTTATAATTTAACATCAATTAGAATATCTGATATATTTGTTAAATGTTTTAATTTTGAGAAAGTGTAATTCATCTTACATTACATTTGGTTAATAACTAGTGGGAAAAGTGTAAGATAATCTATCAATTTAAATTATTTTATGGACTTTAAAAAGGTTAATTGTGTTGTATTCTTGGTTACACTCAGAAACAAAGCTCTGAACTACTTATACTGTCCACTGCAAAAGGTAATTGTTGAGAATTTCGGTCATGCTAAGAGCTGCTTAACAATAATATACGGTAAATCTACATATTTATTCTTTAAGTTACATCACATTTTGAAATGTGAATGATAGTGTGATTAATTCTTAACAATTTAGTGTAGAATATCCTGCTTGTAAAATAAAATTTCGTATCAACATTATTTATGCCTGTTCTCCCATCAATTCAAAAGAGAACGTTGAGCTTTGCCCGCATGTTCAGCTTTTCAAATACAGCATGGAAAGTGGTCAGACAGACACCACAGTTCACAATATATATATATAAGATCACATATACTATCAAACAATGTGTGTAGAATAAAAATTGTAATTAATGAAAGTAACTTTAATATTTCCCCCAGTTGAATCACTTGCTTAAAGGTGAAATTATTTACTAGTAAATACACAAAAAAATGTCTTACAAAGATGTTGATTGGGCATTTTAGCAATAAAAATTTACCATATATACACTTGCAACATTTTCCTTCTTTGAATATTGTGACACATACTCACTGTTTGTGTGTAACCCTTAACGTTAAGCTTAATATATAATGAGTACAGTTAAAGACAAATAAAAAGCATGTAATATTTTAAACATTTTGATTGAAAAAATGTAATTTAGGTTTATATTGAAAAAGATTAAAATAAAGACTTGCTGAAGTCAATTTAAGAAAAATTACCTGATGTGGTCACCATTGTTTTCTTTTTGTATCTTTGAATAAAGTAATATGAATTTTTTTTCCTTAATAAATTGTTTTATTTTTACATTTCAAATCTTTATATTTTTAAATCTATTTAAAAAATAAGAGAAACAAATGTCAACATTTTGATTTTAGTTGTTTCACTTGTTTTTATGAGCCTGTTAATTAGTAGACAACTTGTCCATGAAAACAACTGACTATAAATTACTAGTCTGGTAAATTTAACTTTATATAATGTAGGACCAGATGCTACCATATAGCCTATTATATATGTACTATTATTGTTTCTTTATTTGCAAAATCTGCTTTCAAAATAAGGTGTATTATTGTTACAAGTTTAGTTAACAGTCTTTGTATTTTGTACCCAGCACAAAGTATACTGGCATTTGAATCATAGTGACTAACCCAGTTCTGAAAGGATGGTTGTTTGAATCAGACGTAGTGACCAACCCAGTACTGAAAGGATGATTGTTTGAATCAGACATAGTAGTTAACTCAGTCCTGAAAGGATGGTTGTTTGAATCGGACATAGTGACTAACCCAGACCTGAAAGGATGGTTGTTTGAATCGGACATATATATACACTCACACACACTCACACATCTGTATTTATGCACATAAAAAAATAAAGCATTCATACAAAAGAAACTCACAGTAGTAAACTTCACATATCTCTTGCATCTCTGTTGCTGCTACATTATCATACAGTACACCCCTGATGAAGTAAGGTCCACTTTTCAAAAACACTTGGGTTATAGAGTTTCTTTTTTTGTTTTCAATTGGTTTTTAGAACTTACATATTTTTGTAATGCCACAAATGCACAACATATATATATATATTTATAGTGTTTCTTTCTTGCTTCTTGTGTGAATGAATTAGTTTTGGGGTTTGAGAAGGAATGGCAAAATGCTAGTAATAAGAAGGGAGTTCACAACTGGTTAGTCCTCTTCTCTGTAATGTTGAGTCATTTCTGACATTTTATTTATATATAACTTTTCTTCTGGATGAATGCTTTTATATTTTGTCCTTTTGTTTGAAATAATTGCACATATACATGTAAATATATAATAATATTCCTTCATCTTATCATACTTGTTTAGAAATGACTAATAACAATATCATAGGGTTAAATGACTGCAAATATATATTTGTGACTATAAGAAGGCTTGACTGACTTGCTCACTATTTTTTGCTGGTGACTTTGCTGTGGGTACAATGATGGAACTTTTAATGTAACATAGATGTAAAAAAAAAAATCCTATTTTATGCACGTTTAAAGTCATATGTGAAGGAGTCTAATTATACTGAATAGTATCCTATTTCAGGATATCATTGTAAGTAATTGAATGAATTTCAACCTGATAGTTATTTTCTATAAATGGTTTTACTTTTTCTCATTTGTTTCATTCAAGCTCACAGGGCAAGGTGGGCTTTTCTTTAAAATGATTAAAATTAGTCTGTATTAAAAATTTAATCAAAATGCAGCCTTTTATGTCTTAATTAGTTTACATGTGCACCGGACCAACATTTTGCCACAGTAACTGTAGGGCTTTTAAAACTTTAACTTGCACTTCAACAATTGTTTCTAGGTAAATAGATAGACTTGTAGTAGTATGTATGAATCTGTATAACAATGCAAAATAAATTACATGTCTAATCTGCTTATGCTTGTTTATAGCTATGATGAGTATAAGTGCCAGTGAGCAACTGTTTTTGTGAATCATAAAGAAGTACTTGCAAATGATTAATACTTCCAATAAATTATAATAAGATTACAACAAAGTTCATTCTTAGAGCACATATTTTTCAAAAATTTCCTGATCAATCAAAAAATGCTTCCTCTGCCCCTGGTTTTTAAGTTTAAACCACTAACAGAACTTAAATTCAGTGACTTAACTAACAACAAGAAGTTGCTGTGTTCTTTATATTTGTTAAGCCTTACAATTTTAATGGTTTCACTTATAATTATCTAGCTTGTTTCTAATAAGGTAATTTTTAATACATGTTTAATAGTAAAGATGTTTTACGCAGGCTGAGGTTGAAACAGGACTGTGTGTGGAATCTATAGAACAGGCTAAATCTGCTACCCAGATGTTGTTGAAGAGAGGCTGTTTCTCAGTAATTCTAACATTAGGTCCACGTGGAGCTGTTTTTGCTTCAGAAGAACAACCACAAGCCATATATATACCAGCTAAGCAGGTGACAGCTGTCGATACAACTGTAAGTTAGCACCATTTTCTATTATGCAAAAGTAATTTCTAACTTGAACTTAAACACTAGATAAGTTGTTTTAATCTGCAATTTGAGATGTGTGGAGAATAAAATTTGGGGTAATTTCTATATGATGTAAATAAAAAGAAACGATCCAGTGGATGTTACACAAAGTATGTTTTGTCTCTCACCCTATAATTTCACCAATTTTGGATTACATTGTACCTTTGTGTATAATATTGCATATAACATCCTGATCTTTCAATATATTAAATACTAGTTACTAATTTTAGCTGTTTCAATCTTTAGTTAGATATTTTTTTTTACTATCGTGGCATTCTTTATAATGTTAGTTATGATATTTAATTAAGTTCCCTAAAGTTTAAAATGAATAAAGAATAAGTTAGAATTTCTTCAATTTTTTAATAAATCTCACTTATTTAAGGAAATTAAATGCAGATTGGTATAAAGAGCTAAGAAATTTGTTTTGCTTATGCTTATTGATTACATAAAAAAACTTTTGCAGCAATCATGTTTTAAACAGTGTTTGGGCAAGATGAATGTCTTCTTTTCTGTCTATTAAACTCATGATAACACATTTGTGAATGATTTCTGTTATGTATATAATGCTAGTGATTGGCTTATTTTTTGTGCATTTTTATAAAAGTCAGGTCAATATTTTATTTCTTAAGTATCTGTTATTATCAGATAGTACTTTTCTATGTATTTTAGCATGAATTGTATAACTTTTTTATAGATTTCATGAGTGATATGATTTTTGTAACTCTTTAAAGTATTTGACTTTGAATGTCATAACTGTTTTATTTTCTTAGTATTATTACATGATTAAGTTAAATGTTTTAGTTCTTTGTCTTAATATTTTTACTCAGCTAACATTTTGTAATGTCTGTATATCAAAAATGTTTTTTGGATGAATTTATTTTCATAAAGGTTGCAGTTTGATTTTTTGTTTGATCCATCTTCCATGCAATATAGGGTGCAGGAGATGCTTTCCTTGGAGCATTGGCCTACTTTATGACTCAACATTCCAGTCTTACGATGAAAGAATGCATTGAAAGATCTTGTGAAGTGGCTGCCATTAGTGTACAGAATCTAGGAACGCAGAAGAGTTTCCCATGGAGAAAAGACATTCCAGCAGAGCTTTTTTCGTAATTGCGAGGTTAAATGCAAAAAGTGTTTAGTGAGAAGAAAATAATATGCTATACATTTTTTGTAGTGGGTGTGTCTAAGCTTATCACATCATGAAAATATTGTAGAACAGTCACAATGGTGTAAAGAATAGGAAACTTAATTACATTGAAAATGAATAAAACTAACTGTTATACAAACCACATCTGTACCTTAGTGATGAGTAGTTTAGGATAATTACTTATAAGAAAACACAGGTATTTAAGTAAAATAAAAGATTCAAGAATACGCTTTAAAAGCCCCAAACAAATTAGCACAGCATTTCACTGTAAAATCTGGTTACTTTCCAAGTTGTCATAATTTTGGAAAAATAAGATTATTTTCTTCTGTTAAATTATTCACTTGTGACTAAAAATTATAGTGCCTTGAGAATGTTTAAATAAAAGAATTTATACATTTCTGTTTTTCAGTGCAAAGTCTTATATCATGTATGGTTATAGAACTGTATGCTTTAAGTTTGTTTTATTAATTTTTCTTTTCTCAACAACAATAAAATTTTGTCTGAAACAAAACAAACAAAAAAAAACCTAGGTTTATAATGTGGTATCATAAGTACAATATAAACATAGAAACATTTGATTTCATTATAGACATGTCAGCCAAAATGGATAATTACTTTTGGATTATAGGCTACGTACTTTAATTCTTTACTCAAACCTCGCCAAGCATGCAAACACTGTCTTGGCTTGTTTTAATGACACTGAACTTAGTAGGGTCCCTAGCTAAGCATGCAAACACTGTATTAGCTTGTTGTAATGACAATGATCTTAGTATGGTTGGAATTAATCACTTTTGTTACTGTATCTTTGTAACTTTTTATAGTGAAGAAATAGTTTAGTATTGGTTTTATTGTAACAAAGTGACAAGTTTTTAGTCAATTCATTAAACTTTTATTTGTTGTCCAAGGATGAATTTAGTAGTACATTTTATATTTTTAGCAGACAATGAAAAATGTTTTTTTGAACTCGTTTCAGTTAATTCCAGGAATCCTTGTTATGATCACAAAGTAAGATTGGATAACCTGACAAAAGGGTGTGGGTTGGCTCCAAATTTCTTAGCTTGCAAGCTGGTTTCAAATCCATGGGAGATAACATTAAATATTCTCCACACTTAAAGTTATTGGGTGCAGTCATTCTCTTAACGTAGATGTTGGGGGTAGTAAGTGCTGCTTAGTGGCTGCCTTCCCTCTGGTCAGTTGTTCAAAATTAGGTAGTGAAGCAGATAGCTTTGGTAGCATTGTCACAGATACAAAATACAACCCTACAAATCTAAGGATATTGATGAATTATATTTCTGTAAGTTAGGTGTGCATTATATATGATTCAAGTAAGTAATCTAGCATTTAAAAAAGATGTAGCATGATATGTTATGAGCAGAAACGAAACATCAGTTGTTTTAAAGTTCAAATTTTGTTTCTTCTTATAAACCGAAATGGTGGAGAGTAATAGACATGTCCAAACTCATATGAGTTATTGATTTAAATAACATGGAAAAAATTGATCATCATTACTAAATTGTACAAACATAAATTTGCATTGTTTATGGATACTTAGTATCTGATACTAATTTTGTCTGAGCAGTAATTTTGTTACCATAATTTAAACTTGCATTTGAGGTATATTTCAGATTGAAAATTAAAAATGTTTCCATATTTTGATTTTTGCTACAGTTATTTGCTATCCAGATAAGTGTTTTTAAAATTACAAAAATATTAATGTCCAATATAATTAAAATGTATGGAATTGTTTCACTTGTACAATTTGTTCTGAGACATTCTAATAGTTCTGTATTAATTATTCCCAAATTGTGTTTTGTATGTTTATTTGTTTGTAGTTGAGCACAAAGCTGCACAATAGGCTATCTGTGCTCTGCCCTCCATGGATATCAAAACCCGGTTTCTAGTGATATAAGTCTGCAGACGTACTGCTGTGCTAGTGGGGTGCTTGCCTTGTGAGAGCAGCAGAACTTCCTTTATATTGTAATTGGGATTTTGTAAAAGTTTTTTGAAATGCAACATTGTGACTTAGTACATTTAATAGGAGCTGGTTAAAATGGTTTTCTTTTTTTCCATTTTCTAAGCTCTGTTTTAATATTTTTTAATAATTTTTTCAGCATATAAAACCTTAAATGTAGTATAATTTAAAAGTTTTATTTTTAGGATATTTTAAAAGGTTTCATTCTTTGGTATGAATGAAATAAATTGCAATAAATAGAATCATAGTATTTGTAAAATTATAATATTAGAAGTTGTACATGTTACTGTAAGAAAGAAAAAAAGATGATGCTCCACACTTGTTGCCATGGGGTCCAATCCCACTATTCAACTAAAATAGCCCAAGAAATTTGGTAGGTACTGTTGATTAGCTGTTCCCTTCCCACTCCAGGCTATCAGTTTTAAATTAACAGCTAGTGAAGATAGCCCTTGTGTAATAACTTTGTGTGTGTATATGAAACAATCAGTCAAACTATATTACTCAACAAAGTTATAAAACATTTGTCAACTTTTGTTAGATCTTTATATCAGATTTTTCCAACATTTCTTAGAGCTTTTGATTCCAGGTTCTGTATGTCATATTTAGCAGGAATGATACAGAATTGTTAAAACTGAAGAAGGTTCTTTTTGTATTTGATTAGTAAATGCTGTTGAATTGTTTTAATAAACTTCATAATCTTTCACTGATATGTGAGAAACATGAGGATTCAGTATTATGACATTATGTGTGTATGGTATTTTTTATTCTCTTTTAATCACCACAGTGAACCTATATTTATACATGATTTGATAAATGTGTAGCCTTGATACTACTAATTCTACATTACTCAGCAGACAAACTATATTTGTTAGTATTGTATGACATTGTTAAACTAAATCAAGTTATCTTAAAGAAGAAATGTCAGACAGGCTTTCACACTTGATGGGAGCCATTACACTGATGCTCTTACATGCCTGTAAAATGAGTTTTTGCAAGGGTTTATTAGAGCTTCTGTTAAGTCTGTTATGACGCTTGCTATTTATGTAGTCATCTATTGTTAACACATGACAAGCTCACAGATAACTTCTTGTGGCTCTGTTGGCTGCTATGACTCTGGTACTTTACTTTTAACTGGCCTAGGCTAGCAATTTTACATGTACAGTAATACGATATTTTCAAACTGTTATTATATTATATAGACATCTAATATTTGTAACTAAGAAATTAAATCTATGTGTCAATGTTTAAATTACAAAATTGGTTATTAATTATTAAATTCAGAACAGCAAGAAGAGCTTTAACAAATTTGATCATGATTTAAATTGGTTTTGGTGAACTACTTTGATTTTCTGAAATGACACGAGACTGCAAGGGATGTCAAGTTGATTGGAGGTCGTCATAGTTCAGATTTTGGTTTCACTTTCAGTTGTAAACATGTCTCAGCTTAGCCAGCAAAACTGTTTTATTGTCAACATTTGGTAAGTAGAATCTTGGTGGACAAATTAGATTTTCTTCCTCAAAGAACACTTTAGAAAGAGATAATTTACCAAAAACTTGGTGTAAACTTTGTGCTAAATACAGTGAGGGGATCTGAAAAGAAGTGAAAGGGCACAGTCAACGAGAGGTGGACAAGTATATATACAGCACTGAATTCATAACGAAGTACACTGTCACTTGCCATTTGAATTCAGAAACACAATCAATTGCTTTAAGTATGTATATACCTTGTTTTTCATCATGCATACAGCCTGTATTATCTACTTCCTACATTTTACAGTCAGTATACTATAATATCACCTTTGAAGTTTGATTCAAAGGTAAACCCAAATGTTGCCTGTATAGCCCTATGTTTGTATGCAAATTGCAAGCATCTACACAAAGCATTGTTCCCAATACAATTGTTAGTGTGTTAGACACATTTAGCAATTTAAATTATAAAAGAGATTCTATTGTATTTATTTTATTAATTCAAGCTTTGCTGTTTTATTATAATGTATGTTATACAGAATTTACATGTTTATACATTTGTACTTTTAAGGCTTTAAAAAGTTCCATGAAGATGAGGAGAGGACTTCCTGGTTCCAGTGGTTCTGCTAGTGATGATCCTTCTGCTTTCAGCATCTCTCTTCAATCTTAGACAGATTCAATCTGCATGCACAAGTTAAGGAGGCATACAGAAAGCTTCTCAAAACAGCTTGCTGTGGATGGACAGCTTTTGTCAGCATTCAAAACTTTAATTAAAGTGCAAAAACAAAATGGGGTACAACTAATTTCAAATTTTGATAATGCCAGTAGAGTGAAAGAATTTATTAATGTTACTGCAGAAGCTAGTCGTGAGAAAGTAGCAGTGATTTTATGTTCATCAGTAGCTTTTGCAGTGCTTAATGATAGAAGTCAGGCAAGAAAAACTGGCTCTGAAAAAGCACTGATTTTCATTAGAACAGTCAGACAAGGTATACCAGTTTATTTCTGTGTTCCCTAATAGGACATTGATAGCTTTGATGATGTAGATGCAAGTAATCTGAAAAGGAGCATTGATGATGTATTCAAAGGTGATGCAAAGGTTTCAATCCCAACAGAAACATACTCTTACCTGTTAGTTTCAGCTACAGTTAATGGAACTTGTGTTAATATTAGAGTTTACAATGGATTGCTAACAAAACTTTGGTTTCTAGGCATTTCCCATAGAGTTGAATTGGTATTTAAAGATAGTGTATCTACATCATTTGCTGATGTGAAAGACTTCATGACAGCTATATATATTACTTAATCAAATGATCTGGAAAGTTCAAAAGGCATTTTGAGACAACTGCCAGTGCATTTGGTGTGCAGCATTTTAATTTTCCCAAAGTACATGTTACACATAAGACGTGGAGTAAATCATTTACTGAGTAATTGGGTAATTGTTGCTTGAGTAATAGAAAAGTCCCTTGCCAGTTGAAAGGAGAGAGTAGCACTGGCGAAATTTCATGGACTTTTAAACAAAAATGAAGTATTTTAATTTTTTGTCAAAATGTTTCTTGTACAAAGATGTGCTGGATGCATGTTCTATTTTCTCTATGCAGTTTGAAAGAAAACATTTTATGATGTCAGATACTGCCTATGGTAGAAAAATGAAAAGATACTTTACAGGATCTCAAGGAAGAAACTTCAGGTACATGCTTTGAAAATCTTTTGAAAAAGTTTAAACTTGAATTGGAAATGAAATCAGGTTCCAGGTATCTTACGACACTTTACTTAAAGCAGAGCCTTACCCACATACTCGCTGATCAAAGGCTTAGTTTAAAACATGCAACAGTGGAGAACCTTTCTATTGATTAAAACAAATGGTTTTGTATGGGTATATGAGGAAAAGGAACAAATATTAGAAACAACCTTGGAGAAGTTTATGGCAAAAAAGGAGGAAATGGAACTTTGATACAAATCCTTCTAACATGTCTGTAAAATGTGCAGCCAAAAAAATAGAAGTCAGACACTTAGAGTGAAATTGATTCTGTTGATGATGAAGATTTACGTGATTATGGAGATCATGATGAGGACGATGAAGATTCTAGCATGTCTAGTAGATCATTTGATGGGGCTGAAACAGATGAGATTATTTTTCAAGAACTGATTGTACAGGAATCATTTGATGTTGACACTGCTGATGATTCTCCTGTACACAATGTGTGTATGTGGATGATGATTGATTATGCTCTAATAGTTAACAGTTAAACACAGAGGACAAAGGATCTTGATATATACAAATGACTATGCAAATTAGATTTACTTCAAATTAGCTAGTTTTTTATGAGATTTATGTTTATGCAAGTTTGTGACTTTTAATTTTTTGAACAAAGAGTGAAACAGATGTTTTATGCCCTAGTAAAAAATATTAAATACCATATTACTCTTGTAGGTAAGTTACAAAAGAGTAATTATCATATGATTCTAGTCAAGATGTTATGTGCCAGACTTTAAGGAGATCATAACATTATAATTTTTTCCAATTTTACTGGATATAAAAATTTTGTTTATTGATACATTGTTTATTCATTCAATTAATGTACCAGGCCTTATATTTGCCCCTTACCCTTACTTTGAACTTGAAATATGACGGCAGGTTCACTTAATAGAAAACAATACAATTCAGTCAATGCAAATTAACTTTTATTGTCCAATTTTGTAAACAAAGAATAGAGGTAGGGTATCAACCCTCTAATAGCCCCCTTGTACTCTTTGGCAGAGGCTGTTTAAAGTTCTCGTACAATTTTCATACCTCAGGGCCTGATATCATGCTTTAATATTTCTTTGGGGTTTTAGTTATTTTAAAATATTAAAGATTATTAATACTCTTATGTATTAAATACATAAAGAGTATTTTGTAGATATTCTTACGTACCTTATTTTAATTGTGCAGGCTTGGTAAAGAAAGAAGATACATGAAATTTGGAAAAATTAACTCTAATTCAGTTTTTTTTTCATGAAAATATATCTTGCTTATTTTCTGTAGCCATGATTTCATTGTTTTTTATTCATTTTAAACTCCATAAATGAAGTTTAATAAATTAATACAGTGAAACAAACCACTAGGCTTAAAATCATAGAATAGCTGTGCATATTTATTTTTCTAGTATTGGATTAATTAAATAAAAGAGGGTGAAAAATTTTACATAAGCTGTTAGTTAATATATGCCTCTTATGTTATTGTGTATTTTCTAAAGTCTTTTGATTGTGGATTTCACAAAAATAATGGATTGTGAAATTCATTTCTTTATTTTAAACAATGAGTTACTTAATAGGAGTACAATTATATAAATTTTTGAATAAAGTGGCCAACATAAACAGCCAAAAAATAAAGCACAGAGTTAAACATTATTTTTTATCTTAAGTAATTGTGTGCACGTAAATGGATTTTTTTGGTATTATTCATATGAGTGTCACAAATTACCATAATTTGGTGCTTGTAGTTTTTTTTTTTCCTTGTTATTGTTGTTTTTTGTAAGAAGTGCATTAGACGTTAATTTTTAATCAAATGAAAAATTAAATTCAATCCAGTGTTGGAAAAATATTTTTACTCGTGTCTACTGTAGAAAGTAATGCTTGCTTGTCTGACAGCTCAAAACTCAATTTTGAGTTCATAGGGTAAGGACTGGGTTACACCCAGTGGCTAAAGTGTCAAACTGTGGAACTCGGGTTCAATGAATCGCATTCTGTTACCATAGAAAAAAAGTAACACTCACTGGGGCTGTGAGTATGTTATAAAAGTGATGGTTAAATCCTACTGTTTGGTCTGACAAGAGTTGGTGGTGGGTTGTTTTGGTTAGCTGATTTCCCTTTTGTCTATTGCTCCAAAACTAGAGATGGCAAGTGAAGATAGCCCTCATGTAGTTGTAAGGCAAGTCATATGTAGGTTATTTAAAATACAATATAATACTATGGAAATCAAACAATCAAAGTCCCAAGTGTTACTTAAGGAACGTGCAATGGTTGCATAGTACTTTGTTATAGTGTCTTTCACTGTCTTAATTTTTCTAGTTATGAAATAGCTACATATACATATGCTGATCTGGACAAACTATTCGCATTTTTCCTCATGTAATACTGTTGAGGGCGTTTACGAGTTGTTCACCAGGCTTTTTGACGACATACAGTCACGTGGATAAACTTCAGCTTGATTCAGAGATAAGTGGAAAGCTTTGGATTACATTGTCCTGTGATAACATTTGGGAAGAAATATGTTAGTTAACTTTTCGGGTGATAAGAGTCTCCAAAGTAAATCCCATAGTGAGGCGTACTGTTAATAAATGAAGCTGATTACACAAAAACCCAGAACGTTTTCAAACATATTGGTATATTTGGTAACCTGTACAAGACTCTGTGTAAAATGAGGGATCATTTTATATAAAATTGTGTATATGGAGACTAAGAAAGAAATATCAAACCTGAGGAGAGGTGTTTCGGAAATCTAAGTAAGAGTTGAAAGCTTTCTATTACCATGGCATAAAGTTTTTCAATTTTGAGGCCATTTTAGATATGACAGTCAATGCTGGTACTCGGTTCACGATAGCCACACTGGCGGCGATTGCTGCACTCCCACTGATTACCAGTTCCGAATCAAGAATAGTTATACATCAGCGGTTCTCAAACTTTAGTAATATTCCGAGGATTCCCTTTAATTTAAAATTTTCGCGGACCTCCAAACCTATCGATTGTTTTTGTTTTGAAAATTCTGTGTCCATGAAAAACTGTATTCCAAAATTAAACGTTTTAATTCGTATAAATTTTACTTACGAAAAATGTTTTTATTCTATAAATCATATTTTTGCTTTAATATTTTTATGAAATTTCGGACATGACTTGCGAACCCCAGTTTGAGAAACGCTGCTATATATGAACCTTAAATATACACCTGACCGTGTGTTGTTCTGGTTGAAAATACCAAGTTCCAGAATCTTGGAACCAATCCTTTAAAATCAAAGTATTTGAATGACGAGTTATTTTAAAAAGAAGGTATTTATCTTATAAAAAATAGTAGAATTCCCAAGTTAGAGAAATTCACATTCTTCAAAATTAAGTCGTATTATTTTAATGATATCCCAAAAGTTGCTGAAATACAAAGTTAAAAAAAATAAGGTAACGTATCAAATACATCGTCTGGTATCAAGATACAACATAGTAATATATTAAGATAACATGGTAAGTAGTTTGTAGAGGCGTAGCCGCAGGAGGGTCAAACAATCACCCCAATGTTCTAAAAAGTTCATTATATTTTAAATACTTTTGTTTTACAAGATTCATGTGAACTAAGGTGAAGAACTGAAATTCTTTATGTAAAAGAAAAGCTCCACGTGTTTTTGTAAATGTGGACATTTTTCTTCTACACCCACTCCAGTACTAGCTACGCCCCTAATTTGAACACTAGGGGTATCACCTTTGAAATACCCCAACCCCCCCCCCCCGGAAGTCAATTCCACGCCATCCCTTAAACACATACCTTCTAAAGAGTGAATTGTAGGACTAAATCAGATATGTATAATAATACTCTATACTAATATAGTACAACAGTCTACACGGTAGACAGACGATTGCTGTGTTTTCAGCAGTTTTGATCCATTATCGCATAAACCGGTGAAGCAGCAGAACTGCAACAATGATCTCGAGCTGGACAAAGTTTCAGTTTAGATGCCCCTTTGTGATGTGATAACAATGCAAGTTTGTAGGTTCAGATAAAAGAAACCGCAAGATAAGATTATTTTTCTGGCAAATCCATAAGAAAAACCAAAAAACAACCTGGCCATGTGGCAACCCTGTTGAACGTCAGTTTTCAGGTTGGTGCTCTGCAGTGAAATTGCATCTAATGTGTACAATAAACTACATGCATCATTACTATGGTTAATCTGTTTGAATTAAGTTTCAACGAGTAATTGTAACCAAACGAGTATACTTCTGGTATAACTCGAATAATTCATCGCCCTCTATCCTACTATGATCAGTAAAAGAGATGTGGACTTCAACCACTGATTTCTATACTGAACATTTATATCAGTGCCTTGACAACATTCCTTGGGAGAAAAAATGCGTTAGATGCTGCTGAATCCGGTAGAGTAAAGACATATAAATGATTCTCCGTACACCTTGTTTCCGGTATTCATTTGTGCTTCCGCTCGTTTACAAACTGGAAAACCTACATTGATAATTCCATTCATTTAATTTCAGAGTTTGTTCCTATTAACGCACAAAGCAACACACATTAACCGTCATTCCTTTATATGAAGCCAAAGCTACCCTCGTCAACAGTGTACAAATTTATAAATCGTTTGTAAAAACAAACGTAGATTATTTGTCAATAACCGAAATTACCAACAATCAAAAATACTTTTAAAGTGTTTGTCCTGTTATGTTAATTAACATAAAATATATATCAATTTGACTATCGGAAAAACGTATTTTAATTGGTTAATTTAGTTTGGGCAGACAGAATCACGACCTTACTTTACCATTGTGCCAAAAAAGCTTTAAGAAAAAAAAAACTGTTATTGAATGTGTAACATCGCATAGGCTGAAACGCCCAAAAGTAGGTCAAGAACTCATGATTAGTTTAAACTAGTGCTACAGCGAGGATAAAATACGTGAATAGGTAACGTAGGTCAAGAACTCATGATTAGTTTAAACTAGTGCTACAGCGAGGATAAAATACGTGAATAGGTAACGTAGGTCAAGAACTCATGATTAGTTTAAACTAGTGCTACAGCGAGGATAAAATACGTGAATAGGTAACGTAGGTCAAGAACTCATGATTAGTTTAAACTAGTGCTACAGCGAGGATAAAATACGTGAATAGGTAACGTAGGTCAAGAACTCATGATTAGTTTAAACTAGTGCTACAGCGAGGATAAAATACGTGAATAGGTAACGTAAGAAGAACAACAAGCATAATTATTATTTAGGATTGTTAGTGTTACGACAGCGGTAGTCACGCGACTCTGGAGTTTCTAGAAGGATCGTGACTTTTCGAGGAACCTCGCGAATGTCCGAGTGCTTGCCAGGTACCCTCTTTTTTTTAGTATATAAGCCTGGCAAGAAAAACCAGCGCAATTGCAGAGATACATTGAAGATAGAGATAATTAAGTCAAGCGAACAGTAGGCAC